CCCAAACCCAAACAGGCATGAGCCGGGCATAGGTCCATGGGGACATTTGGCACTTGAGCTAACTCTCCTTTCAGCATTTTCCATGGTTCTGGTCCACCTTGAATTTCCCTACTGGCAAAAGCTTCCGTTTGAAATGCAGATGAAGTCCAAATTTCTTCTTGTTCCAGATGTGCTTTACACAGGGCATCCAACCTCGCTGCCCAACTCATCACCAGGAACAGCATTTGCTGGGATATCATCAAGAAGGGACAGTGAACCTCAGTCTAGCCAAGTCTATATTCACAATGTTCTGGATTATGAAAGCCCCAAATAGCATTTAAAATACAAAAAATTGGCCAGGCGTGGTAGTATTAACTACTGTAATCCCAGGACTTGGGAGACCAAGGCAGGAGGATTACTTGAACCCAAAAGTTTGAGACCAGACTGGGCAACACAGCGAGACCCTGTTGCTATAAAAATTTTTAAAATTAGCTGGGCATGGTGGCATGTACCTGTAGTCCTACTTACTTGGAAGCCTAAGGTGGGAGAATTGCTTGAGCCCAGGAGTTCGAGGCTGTGGTGAGCTGCGATCACACCACTGCACTCCAGACTAGGTAACAGAGTGAGACCCTGTAGGTAGGTAGGTAGGTAGGTAGGTAGGTAGGTAGGTAGGTAGATAGAAGGATAGATAGGTAGGTAGGTAGATAGATGATACATGATAGTAGATAGATAAGAGGCAGTAGTCAGAATGATTATCAGCACAGTCTTGCTTTCTTATTTGTACTGTTCAATATTACACCTAGTTAGCCAGAAGCAGTGGCTCACACCTGTAATCTCTTTGGGAGGCCAAGGCGGGTGGATTACTTGAGGCCAGGAGTTCGAGACCAGCCTGGCCAACATAGGGAACTCTGTCTCTACTAAAAATACACACACACCAAAAAAATTAGCTGAATGTGGTGGCACACACCTGTAATTCCAACTACTCAGGAGGCCAAGGCAGGAGAATTACTTGAAATCAGGGGGTGGAGGCTACAGTGAGCTGAGATCACACCACTGCATTCCAGCCTGGGTGACAGAGTGAAACTTGGTCTCAAAAAAAAAAAAAGCATACCTAGTTGAGTGGTGTTTTTAAAAACATGGATCACACCTATAATCCCAACACTTTGGGAAGCCGAGGTGGGTGGATGGCTTGAGCCCAGAAGTTTGAAACCAGCATGGGCAACATAGTGATACTCTGTCTCTACAAAAAAATAAAAATAAAAAATTAGCCAGATGTGATGGTGCATGGCTGTGGTCCCAGCTACTTGGGAGGCTGAGTACGAGGACTGACTGCTTGAGCCCAGAAGGTCAAGGCTGCAGTGAGTCATTATTGCACCACTGGACTCCAGCCTGGGTGATGGAGTGAGACCCTGTCTCAAAATAAATAAAAAACAAAATAAAATAAATATTGTCCATGATTCACTGGTAACTGTGCTATTTCTTCTGGGTTGTTTGCTCAAATGTCACAGAAAGTCATGGTTCTGGAAGCCTTGAGCAGGAGGAGTAACATTGGACTAACTTCAGCCAGTGAATTCACCCCATTGCCTTCTCAGAACCATCTAACCCTGGGATATGTAAGAATGAGTGCATTCTCTCATTCATATGGGACCTGGGAGTGTTTTCTAATCTTCTCATGAAATTCATGTCTCCGTTTTCCCTTTGCCATGAAAAATATGAAAATCTTATTGTTTCGAGCAGAGTCACTGCGAGATTAGCAGGGAAAGATCGGCAGGCAGAATCTGATCATAGTGACAGCATGAGTTTCTGATTATTAAAATATGTAACATTTCAGATGATGCTACATTTTAGATATAATTGTCTAGTATGTATAATTATATAATAATTATGCAATAATTTTGCAAAAGATTTTGTGGTGTTAATTCAGTAAATACATATTATTTTGTCTGAAGAATGCCGGAAGAGAAATGTTTAACAGAAAACTAACATATAAAACATTTTCAAGGAGTTTGTGCTCTGAGAAAAAAGGATTAAAGTATCCAAATAATACAAGGCAGACATAAGATTAAGATAACAGCCAGGAACAAACTGCTATTAGGGATCACGAGGAGGGAGAGATGACATTAGACTGCATGGGGATTAAGAATATTGTAATCAAAGTTGAGTGGGGCTTTTACATAAGGTATGGATGGAAGAGAACAGAAAACACATTTTCACTGAGTGTTAGGTGAGCTTATGAAATAACTCTGAAACTATAAGCTAGGACCAGACGGAGTATCTGAAATCACTCAGCTTCCACTTTTGAAGCAAACATAATCCTCTAAAAAAAATTATTTAGTTTGCTAGGGCTTCTGTAACACAGCCACAGACTTGGTGGCTTAAACAACAGAAATGTATTGCCTCCCAGCTCTGGAGCCCAGACATCTGAGGTTGAGATGCTGGCAGGGTTGGTCCCTCCTGAAGGCCGTCAGCAACACTGCTCCATGCCTGATCTCTAGCTTCGTGGGGTCTGCCAGCAATCTTGCATTCCTGGATTGTGGATGCATCACCCCGAGCTCTGTCTTCATGTTCACATGGTGCTCCTTCTCCCTGTGTGCATTCACATCCAAATTTCCCCTTTTCATCAGGACACCAGTCATACTGGATTACTGCCTACCATAATGACTTCATTTTAACATGATTCTGTAAAAACTATTTCCAAATAAGGTCACATTCTGGGGTATTGTGGGTTAAAACTTCAAACTTCAACAATTCTTTTTTAGGAGACACAATTCAGCCCATAGCAGTAGCACACATTAACATACACACACACACACACACACACACACACACACACACACAGGGAGAGAGAGAGAGAGGAGAGAGAGAGAGAGGAGAGAGAGAGAGGAGAGAGAGAGAGAGAGAGAGAGATTCACAGAGGGGAGGGGGGGAGAGAGAGAGAGAGAGAGAGAGAGAGAGATTCACATAGCATGCACATTTGAACTTTTTTCCCCCAAAGACAGGGTCTCACTTACCCAGGCTGGAGTGCAGTGATGCCAGTAAGTGGAACTGCAGGTGTGTGCCACCACGCCCAGCTATTTTTTTTTTTTTTTTTTTTTTGTAGAGACAGGGGTTATACCATACTGCCCAGGCTGGTCTTGAACTCCTGCGCTCAAGTGATCCACCTGCCTCGGCCTCCCAAAATGCTGGGATTACAGGCGTGAGCCACTGCGCCCGATGCAAGTGCCTTTTAAAAAGTGATATGAGAGTCAGGTGTTTATCCTACATCACGTCATGGAATAGAACAGAGAAAGTGTACACAGAAATGTTCTAGCTCAGTAGCTTCTCGTAGAGCTTACTGATGTAACTATCTATGTGCCTCCAGACATCTCCCTCTCTCAGTCTAAAGATGAATAGATGTACCTGAGATTAGAGAAGGTACAACTCATTTGTACGAAGCACTACAGTTTACAAAGTATTTTCTCACACTGCGTTTCATTTGATCTTCAATTCTCTCAAGACAATTATGTAAGCAACGTAGATATCATATTACCAGTGAGCATGAGTGAATTAAGTCCAGGAGAGGTTCAGTGAAATAGTTTAGGGCCCCAGTTTAGATGAACAGAGATGGCAACACAATTCAGGTATTCTGAATTACAGCCCAGATCTTCTTTTATTCCATCATGATGTACCCAAAAACAATGAAAGTGATCACTTTTACTTGTTTTCATTTAGAAAAATTTGTGTTGGATGCACCCTACTGAAGCGTATTGACTGAGTTCTTGGTATAGGCACAATAGGAATTGTAATAAAACAACTGGCAGTGGTGTTCACAATGGGACTGATGGGCAGAAACAGAGCTGCCTCTACTCACTGAGCTAAAGGCTACCTTCATAACTCTTAAAACAACATACACATCTGCTCTGTATTTTTTGTGGGACTGAGTAGACCCTTATTTGTTGGTAGATTGGTTTCAAAGCATGAATCTTGGATCGACTTATTCAGATGTTAGTCATATTATTTGTAGACCATCCATCAAGGGTCTTGCTTGTTTCCTTTTGGAATATTTAAAATACAGAGATTCTAATTAAATCTGGCAGGAAAAGCCCTTGTGCTGTAAATATGGGTAAATAACTGGGTCCAAAAGGGCACACCTGTTTTTTTCTTAATTTTTGTTGCTTTTCCTTTTTCAAAAATGTTAGTATAGAACAACATTTCTATTTATCAAGAAAAAGCATTTCAGCATTTTATATCAACCTTTCCAGACCATCCCATTTTACAGAATAAAGGTGAGGCCCAGCTAGGTGAGGGGCTTCAGCCACGCTGGAATTTGAAGCCAGGCTTTTCAGACTCCACAAAACATGCTTTTCTTTCTTTTTATGAGGGGAGGTGGGAAGGGAATGGGGTGTAACAGCTTTACAGATGTAATTCACATTCCATATAATTCATCAGCTAAGGGGCTAATAATCCAAAATACACAAAGAACTCATACAACTCAATACCAAAAATATAACTCCATTTAAAAAATGGACAAAGGAACTAAATAGACACTTCTCAAAAGAAATTTGAATAGCTAACAGGTATATGAATAAGTGCTCAGCGGCTCGAGGCACCAGGGAAACGCTAATCAAACCAGGAGGTAACAGCCTCATACCTGGTAGGATGAATAGTATCAGAGGTCAAAGATAAGTACTGGTGAGGATGAAGAGGAAGCACTTGTACACTGCGGGTGGGGATGTAAATATGGAAAACAATATGGAGGTTCCCCTAAAAAAATAGAAAACAGAAATATCTGTATATATACCCAAAGGAATTGAAATCAAGATTATAAAGAGATATCTGCACTCCTATGTTCATTGCAGCATCACTTGTAACAACTGAAACACCTAAATGTCCTTTGACAGATGAATAAATATGTGGCATATAAAAAAATACAATTAAATATTACTTAGCCTTAAAGAAGAAATCCTGCCATTCTCAACATGGAGGACATTATGCTGAGCAAAATTAAAATAAGCAAGACACAGAAAGAGAAATACCACATGATCTCACTTGTATGTGAAATTTAAGAGCCAAATTCACAGAAGCAGAGGGTAAGATGGTTGCTAGGGGCTGAGGGAAAGGGGAAATAGACTGATATTGGTCAAATGGTACAAAGTTTCATTTATACAAGATAAATGATTTCTGGAGAGCCAATGTACAGCATGGTGATCACAGTTCAGTATTATATTACATACGTGTAATTTGTTAAAAAGATAGATCTTTTCATCACACATATATACACAACACAAACACAATGGTAATTATGTAGAGGTAATGAAGATATTAATTAGCTTGATTGTAGTGATCATTTCGCAATGTATATCAAATATGAAGATGTACATCTTAAATACATACATTCAGAGGTTTCAATGAGAAAACAAGACTTTAAATTATCTTTAGTTATTGCTACTTAAAGTGTCTTAAAGTAGTCGTGATGAATGGTTATAAGTAGTAACCACATAAGCGAGCAGTCCTGTCAGACTGCTCCAGCACAGTAGTTTAGCTCACTGCTTATATACAGGTGGTGGAATTCCCTACAGCGCAAAATCACTTCCATCTTGCTCAAAAGCTGCATTCAAACAGAATCTCATCAAGGTTTGGGTCTAAGAGTACATCTGGTTATGGATTACAGAAGCATAATCACTAATCCCATCAGACATTCTCTCATGTGTAGGAAAAGGCAAAGACTGGGGTCATTTAACTTTTAAGGAATGTAGTGACTCAGGCAAAAGGCGTGGGGGTGCCCTGTGCTCTATGCTGTTTTGTTTTTAAGGCATCTTTCCAGAGAGTTGCATGTCATCACAGGGTCAGGGGCTTTGTGAACTGATGCTGGCAAGCAGAAATGAGCAGACCTGGCTTCTGCTGTTTTGTCTCACTCTACCTAGCTCAGTGCTCTGCACGTAGTCAACACCAACTGCACTGGGAGGTCATACAGCTACTACGTGAGAGTGTGATCTTTGGAACCACACTGATTGGGTTAGGATCCTGGTGCCAACACCTACAAACTGTGACCTTGGCAAGTTACTTCATCTCCAATGACTTCATTTTCTTTATTGGTAAAGTAGGAATGATTCATATAATTGTGGTGGTTATATGATGAAAGGTAAAACCCAAAGTGCTTGATAAATTTTAGCTATTACTATTATTCATGGAAGCAGCTTAAACATCAATGGACCTAAAGAAGTTTCACAGGTGAATTGCACTACTCTTACTGAACAATTAGATAAGAACATTTGATGTAAAAATTTTAAGAGACAGTTTTGTATGGAAACCAAGAATCGTATCTACTCATTTCTTTTATCCTCACCTCCATTTTCTTAGCGATCAAGAGAAATCATCATCCTGTTTTATAGCTTTTGGCTAAAAGTTTCAGGAAGCAGATCTTGGGCTATGCTTTGAGATTTTTTCCACATCATCTGGGAATTTCATTCCTGGAGTATTGGTCTTATACAGAACTCCTACACAACCCAATCATGGACTCCCAAGAGTAAAGCTAGCCCTATTTATGTGGCAGCTTTTACTTGGTTTATTTTGGTTCTATGGAACACCTACTCATTTTACATATACTTTATAAGTACTTCTTTATTGATAGACCTTTCTTACTAAGTAATATTGAAATATAAACTGTTGACAAAGCACAATTTGTCCACTAATCTTCTTGCAGATGGTTTAAAATCAGTAGGAATATAAGCCAATGGGAAACATATGTGTCTTGCCATCTAAATATCAGACTTGCTCTGAAGTTAGTGAGCCTTCATGGAACCCGATTACTAGTTATCTCAGCAGTGAATGTGTAACAGCCAAAACATTTCTGAAGCAGCACTATTCTACCAATTATCCCATCATGTTACAAAGCTCAGCTCATGTTCCAGGAAAGTTGCTGTTCGCTTCTGGCCAGGCTTTCCCCGTGGGTTTACTGTATGACTCAGGGACAGTTGTCTCCACTGTTTCCACTGGCGGGTTTTCTCCACTGTCCAGCTACATGCTGCTGCATCCTATTTCCAAGAGAAAAAGGAGAGGGGACACGTGAGTTCTAAGCGTAGACTGCTGTGTCAGGCACCAAAAAAGCCAAGAGCCGTTTAAAGTTAGGCCAGTGCCAGCAGAAAAGAGCCAGACTTCTACACTGCTGTGACCCAAATTAGTCTTCTAGAGTCAAAGGTCTCTCTCTAGCAGGAGGATATTTTGCCCCAAACTGTCATGTCTTTATACCAAAAGAGAAAAAGTCTTTTTCTAAATCCTTCCCTCTTTTCAAAATTTCTCAACAGAACTCATCACCAATATATTTCTTCATGGTGGTATACCTAAAATTGATTAATTAGAATAAAAAGAAGAATGCCAATTCATTTCACAGTATCACAAGTTGTATTTTGTTACACAATAGCCAGAGGAAAATTATTTGCAAACAATAACTGCTGTAGAGCTACATTCTGTAGTTAAAATATTTTTTCATTTAAAGAATTATTCCTTAACAAATGTAACATTTAACATTACAAAAAGGAAAACAGACATATTTACAAAGAGCAAAGGCAGTAATATTGTTTCTCTAGCTATAAATAAATTAAAATATATAAAAATAAGTTTTTTAGACTCATATAAGCTTCTTAATACACTACATAAATACATTCAGTAACTACTGTGCTGCTTACTGTGTAGCTACTACTGTGAAATAACTAAAATCCAGCATCAGAGTCTTGGATTTACAATACTGTATTTCTTCACAGATCTCTTCATCCGCTTAATTTTCTTCCCAAAGATTTGGTGATCTTGCTTTAAAATATACCGGAAATATCTACAACCTAAAAAGTAAAGCAAAATAAAAAGTTTGAATACTCATTATTTTTTCTCAAGTATATTTCTACATTTTTAAAATTTTGCTTTAACTTTGGCACACTAATGATTATGAAAATAAATGTGTAGTATCTACACCAGTATGGCCTAAGCATATTCTCAGCTGTGTCCAGTGAAATATATTTCCTCCTATATACAAAGATGTTTCCAATCTACCTAAAGTGCAGACTTTAATTTGTTTTCTACCCTTCCTCCTACACCCTAGCGATGGTGACAGGCATATTACATACAGTCACGTATTAAATGAGCCTTCTCTAGAAGCGCATTTGTATAGATTCCTTCTCAATGTTAGCTTAGAAATCAGCCAAAGTTACATTTATAATAGTAAGAAAGTTCTCTGTAGAAATTGGTGTGAAGGATTAGAATAAACAAATCACAGGTGAGAAATGGTCAGACATTATCTATTCATTCTAGCCATGAAGCAAGCAGCAAAGTAGAGATCATGTATCTGACAGAGGGGCCGCATACTCATTAGAAGTTCCACCTGCTCTTCATAGTCTTACAACACAAAGGACTGTCAAGTATTTGTCAAATACTTCAGACAAATGAATCATATTTCTGTAAGAAAAAGTAAACTGGATATTGAGTTCTTTTTAGAGTTGGTAAATGGACGAGACCATAAATCACATATGAAAAATTAATTTCACTACAGTTTCAGCCTGTAGGCAATATCTTCTCGGAGAAAATGCAAGGACATATACTGTACCTATAGTAATCATTTTTACCATTCTGGAAACTAATTAGTATGCCAGAATTGCTAATATTTTGTTTTATTGTTTTTCCTGAGATGGGGCCTCACTATGTGGCACACTCTGGTCTCAAAACTCCTGGGCTCAAGCAATCCTCCCACCTCAGCTTCCCAAGCAGCTAGGATTACAGGAGCACTGCATGCCACTGCACCGAGCTCAGAACTGGTAATGTTTTATTAGCTGAGAAGCAGTGGTGTCTATAGTATTACTAAAAATAATTTGTGTTTCTAAACATATCATACTCACCTTAGCAAAAAACAAAATACTTTGCACACAGAATTTTGCCTCTACCTACACATAAAACTGGGAATAACTTAGTTCCCACCCCAACAGAGAAAAAGCTTAATAAACCTCAAATATTAACTCTCGAGTCCACCGGAGAGCTGGAATCGCAGGGCAACCAAGTAGTTTCAATCCCAACAAGAAAAGGCCCCTCCAAGGAGAAATGAGCCCAGCTTGCTTTTAGCAGGGCATAGGAAGAAAGATAGCCACCATACCCCACACTAAGCACAAAGCAAAGGCAGACCACGACTAGAATTTGAATCCTATAAAGTAAGGTTGGTAACCAGAGCTAGAAGAAAACCCAGCTTAACTAATGAATAGACTGACTCAACCCCACACTAACAGCTTGAGAGGAGATGTGGCTCTTGCAGGAGTAACTGATACCTGATATTTGTAGAGTACTTTAGAAATTATGAAGTACTTTGATGCGATGTTCACATGATACTTACAACAGTAAGATGGGTATTACAATGCCCCTTCACAGAAAAAGCTCCTAAAAGCTAATTGCTTGACCTAAGTTACACAGCAAGTGAGAGAACTGCGAAATTAACCCAGATCTTCCTACTCTGCTCAAAGAGACCTCTAAATAATTGTGCTAGATGCCTCTCTACTCATAAAGTAGTAGAAAATGACAATCCAAATCACCTTTCTGTTCCTTGTCATCAGTGTATTAGAGAATTTTTCTTTTCTTTTTTTTTTTAGAGATGGGGTCTTTCTATGTTGCCCAGGCTGGAGTGCAGTGGCTATTCATAGGTGTAATCCCACTACTGATCAGCACAGGAGTTCTGACCTGCTCTGTTTCCGAGCTGGGCTGGTTCACCCCTCCTTAGGCAATCTGGTGGTCCCCTGCTCCTGGGAGGTCACCATATTGATGCCGAACTTAGGCAGACATCAGATCGGCATAGTGCACTACAGTCCAGAACTCCTGGGCTCAAGCAATCCTCCCACCTCAGCCTCCCGAGTAGCTGGGACTACAGGCACGTACCACTGTGCCCGGCTTATTTTCTTCCTAATCAAATTTTATTACGTTCACTGAGACTACTAATTCCAAAATAATAGAAACCATGCTCAAAAGTGAATTGGACAATCTCCTCAGCACACCTTAAACTCCATAGCACTGGACCACTTACTAGTGGTCACTGAAGATTCACTTTCTTCATTTCTGGACATACTTTGTGGCAGTTTCATTTCAGTACTGGCCACCTTTTCATTTCAGTGGTACAAAGCAGGTAAGAGTTTTAGCACCCAAAATACTCCTTTTCTTTGAAGAAAAAAATCAATATCCCTTTTCTTCGAAGACGACTTTTTTCATATGCTAGTAGGAGCTATTTTTTTCTCTTAAGTGGAGGAAATGTTTCACACTTTTAGGAACAGATAAGTAAATATTAGTATAATATGGGGCTATTAAAGAACTATGAGGTCAATAAATAATATTTTCATACATTTAATAAAGTAAAATATCTCAGTAAACTCTCTATAAAACCAAGGCTAAATGGTCAATTATTGTGGAAAGTCTGTATCACATATCTTAATGCCCCCTAGCAACACTCAAGTCAGAAGGTGAAAACCAATCACAATCAATAATATGAAATCACTGTATTGGATTCATTCTTTCATCAAGCAGTTATTTCTTAAGTGCCTAGTATTTTTAGGTACCATACTAGGTAAGCTCTAAATGAAGGTCATACTTCGTAATTTCAAATTTAGCCAAAAAACTGTGTCTAGATAAAAACAAAACAAAAATATGTACCTTTTCCTAACAGTAATCCAGCCACAAAGGCTTTCTCACAGGCCAAAGCTGTGTCTTCCTTCCAATCACTTTTTGCCCAAAAGTAGCTGAAATGAAAGCTTGGCCACCAGTTTTTCCTGGAGTTCCACTCTTCTTGAACCCATGCAAGGTGGTTTCTGGAAAAGAAAAATGTGAAAAGAGGTCAATGATGGGAACAAATCTACATTATCAGAATTTAGACTTAATTAGAGTCTATGGAAAGATGACAAGGAAGATGTTTCCAAACTAAATTCTGAATATGGCAAAAGCATAACACATGATTGGTAACAGCAGGAAAGCAAATCCTTTTTTGTTCTCTTCCATCTCCATATCCCATTTTCCATTTCACTAAACAGACACTTTAGTACAGTAGTTACAGAACAGACTCAAAGCCAGAATCCCGGATTCAAATATCAGCTCTTCCATTTATTATCTATGTGATCCTGGGCAAGTTGTTGAACCTCTCTGAGCTTCAGTGTTCTTGAGGACATTAGTGGTACCAATGTCATAGGATTGTTATTAAGACTAAACTATTCCAGTAGTAGGGTATAGCAGGTCTCATATAAAGCTCTTTGCATAGTGTCTGCTACATAGCAAATATTCAATCAATTTTATCCATTACTATTACTTAAGTAAAACCTTACTTAAAATTATATGCTGCTATCAATTATTATCCAAATCAAGATACCATTATTATACATATACATGAACACATAGGTTTAACTGTTAAATGCAGGTAATGCTATGTGTCTGTGAATAATTCTTTCACTGTATATATTTAAGGTATACAACATGTTTTATATACACATAGTTAACTGTTGTGTGTGGTAGGAGCACCTGAACTCTACTCTTAGTAAACTTCCTATATGCAATACAATATTATTAACTATAGTCTGTGATGTACATTAGATCTCTGTAATTTAATTGAACAAGTACTTACTTAACACCCATGTGCCCCCTATGGTAGAACATCTAGAAGTTCAAAAAAACGAACCTCTTTGCTTTTAAGAACCTTATAATCTAGTAGGAGTTTATTCAGTGCTTGAGATTTAGAAAGTGGTTTACAGGGAATGCATCAACATGTAACAGCAAAACCATTTTATAAACAGCACTGTTCCATCAGGACAAGTTAATTCTGAAGCCTGAAACAAGTTCCCACTGATAATGAATTACCTAACAACTAAAATGGATATAATAAATATATGAAACAATTTTGTGATATCCCTTCTTATCACACACTAAGTAAAAATAACAAACTCGTTTTCTTTTACTCAAAATGTGACACTAATAAGATTAAGATCAGAGGCACACTTTTATATACCCAAGTCACAATGGATTTAATGAGTATTTGTTGAATAAACAGGGTATGATGATCTTGTGAGGTCCTAAGAATAGCCACTGAAAATGATCAAACACAGGTAGGAGGAAAGCTGCTTCTCATGTGATCTTCCAAGTTAATGATGCACAAATCACAAAGAGTCTTTAGCAAAGAGTGATCCCTGCTAGTCTTTATTTCTAATGGGAAAACACGTATGTATTCCTTAGCAAACAGTAGTGCTAAGTATAGTATTTATTTCGATAGCATAAAAAAAATTGATAGAATTTTTCTATGTTTTCCTTATGACTGTATTTCTTTGCTTCAGAAGAAAACGTATGCAGAAAACAGCTGGACACAGTTCAAGTGATTAAAAAACATAGGCAAAGATGTTTAAAAATTGATAAATATTAGCTAAAATATTGGGAAATATTATTTATGATGATCTAGTAATAAATATTTCATGTTTCTTACCCCATTAAGGTCTTCTTCAGATATTTTGCCAAGTATTTCCAGGCAGTTATATTCTTAGTGCATCCGGCAAAATCTAAGACTCCAAATAATACCTCCAACCCCAGTTTATGGTGTTCTTCCTTTTCTGTAATGGTTGTAACAGTTCAAGTTTACGTAAGGTATTAAAGTGTACCAAGCTAAAATATACATGTATATATTTTATCAATTGTATCTGTATATAGTTGATAAAATACTGAATCATAAGCCTTCTAACAGTTTTAAAAAATTCATTATGCTCTTACTCCTGCGATGAATCTTAAAAACTCAGTAACTTCATCCATGTTAATGAGGTCATGGTGATGAGTCTGATCCCAATACGAGTTACACTCCTTTACTGAGAACATTTAAAGTATCTGCCCTGTTTGGGCATTTTATACATGTACTCTTACATTCAGAGAGAAACCTAGGCAGTCCTAGGACCAGTTTGGGCTTAGCCAGTTGATTTCCTTCTATGAAGGAGTATACGCTTTTCTACGGTGTGCTAAAATCTAGGAGGGATTAAAATGGAGTGAATTCTATAAATTGAAGCCATTTCTCTTTTGCAAACTGCTGCCTTCATTGTATAACAGGAGTAGGCAAACTTTTTCTGTAAAGGGACAGACAGCAAATATTCTAGGCTTTGCAAGACATACATTCTCTATCATAACTACACAGCTCTGTCACTACAGTGCCAAAGCAGCCACAAACAATACATAAACAAATGGACTCCAACAGAACTTGATTTATAAAATCAGGCAAGGGGTGGATTTGGCCAATGGGCCATAGTTTGCTGGTCCTTGGTCTAGAGCTTGTCTACACAAGGTACAAAACAAACTTTACTTATTACCTGATTTTCTAAGTAATGTATGGAATTCCAACATCAATTTATGAGATGGCACAATTTGATACAAAATCTGAAAGAAAGAACAGTCTTGTAAGTTTTACATACTTGTAAAAGCATTTCTCAAATTTCAGCTACTTTCAAAATAAAGTTCTTACTGTCTAATACACTCTAAGTTTATTAAGTATTTTTAAAATACCTTGCTTTTTATTCTGGCTTCAATCTAAGTATAGAAAAGCATTTTCTGTAAAACTGTTTTTTTTTAAGTTCCGGCTAACAAGATAGGAGAACTGAGGGAAACAGATGGGGACTTACTGTTTGCCCCATATATACATCTATACTGTTTACCATGCTTAAGAACTTAAAATGATTTCTTTCAGAAGCCAGTACTGAAAAAAATATATAAAGAAAAAATCAATTATCACACAGAAAATATACTTATTTACTTAACAGAAAAATCACAGGACATTTATATAAAGCAAAAAAACTAAAAAAGCTGGAAGGTAATTTCACAGATTGTGCTCAGGAACACAGTTTACTAAGGGTATGTGAGTAAATATTTTAATAACCTTTTACATAATAAAAAATTTAAAGGTTTTTCTTTTTAAAAATAGGAAGGACTATTTTTATGAATATTCAAACACAGAATTTAAAGTAAAACTGTATTCTTCATTTTAACACATTTAATATTAGAAATGAATTCATTCTGTCTGCTTACTGAAGTACTTTGACCTTACATTGAAATAATTTCCAACAAAATTAAAAGTAAATTTTGTTAATTTCTCTTAATCATTTTTAAGAAGATCAATCAAGATCAATACACCAATATCAGAAATATTACTGAAACTGGGTTCCTATGAAAGTTACATATGTCTCATGATTTTACAGAATTCTGAATATAGCTCAATTCACTTAGTTTTTTTATTGAGATACAACATGTCATAGAAATATATACAAATCATGACATCCAATCAGTTAAGTTAAACACTTAGGCAACCAGCACCCAGATCAAATAATAGCACATCGCCAGAACACTAGAAATCCTCCATTCGTTTTGAAAAATTCTTAGCCATCAGCTCTTCAAATATTAGGGTTTTTAAAAAATGTGTTTGCTTCTGTTCTATTCAGAGGTCCTCCATCTGCGACTCCAATGACAAGTATATGTCAGATCTTTTCAGCAATGTACTAGTATGCTCGTTTCTGCACCTCTCATCCTTTTTGTTCTCCATGGTTTGGCCTGATACTTTCCATGCAGCTTATTAATCTTCTATTTTGCTATGTTCCATCTGCTATTAACCCCATTCATTGAGATTTTAATTCCAAATACTATATTTTTTAAATGGAAAAACAGAATTTCTCTAAATCCATCTCGTCTTGAATAAGTATTCGACATAGTTATTTTCTGTAGCATTTAAAAAAATCTTTTCGAAAACACCATTAGTGATTGATAACCTGAGTGAAAGCACAGTCTTGCTTTTGTTGTAACAATCCTTAATATTTTGTAACATAAATGAATCAAAAGTTATCTTAAGAGAGTAAAATAAAAATAACAACTTTAAAAGTATTATTTAGTCCAGCCTGGGCAACATAGCAAAACCCCACCTCTCCAAAAAACACAAAAAAATTAGCCGGGCGTGGTGGTGTGTGCCTGTAGTCCCAGCTACGCAGGAGGCTGAGGTGGCAGAATCACCTGAGCCGGGGAGGTGGGGGGCTGCAGTGAGCTGTGATCGTGCCACTGCACTCCAGCCTGGGCCAACAGAGTGGGACCCTGTTTCAAACAATAACAACAAAGGATTGTTTAGTAAAACAAAGTCTGTTGAAAAATTCATAAAACACAGTTTCCACATCTGAAGGTTTGATAATACCAATTTTGATCATGAAAGTATAAAGATAATCAGACTTCTAAAAGAAAACAGAGATAACTTTTCTCTGTCATTTCTTTAGGTTGAAAAAGATGTTTGTCTTTCACTTCTAAAATATCACGATTAAAAACTGAATACAAAATATACAAAGAACTCCTATAACTTAACAACAAAAAACAAAAACCAAACAACCCAATTCAAAAAGGGGCAAAGGACTTGAGTAGACATTTGCCAAAGAAGATATACAAATGGCCAAAAAGCACATGAAAGGATGCACATCACTAGACATTAAGGAAATGCAAACCAAAACCACAATGAAACAGAGATACCAATTCACACCCACTAGGATGGGGGTCCCCAATCTTTATGGCACCAGGGACTGGTTTCATAGAAGACAATTTTTCCGAGCCGGGCGCGGTGGCTCAAGCCTGTAATCCCAGCACTTTGGGAGGCTGAGGCGGGTGGATCACGAGGTCAAGAGATGGAGACCATCCTGGTCAACATGGTGAAACCCCGTCTCTACTAAAAATACAAAAAACTAGCTGGGCGTGGTGGCGCGTGCCTGTAATCCCAGCTACTTAGGAGGCTGAGGCAGGAGAATTGCCTGAGCCCAGGAGGCGGAGGTTGCGGTGAGCCGAGATTGCGCCATTGCACTCCAGCCTGGGTAACAAGAGCGAAACTCCGTCTCAAAAAAAAAAAAAAAAAGAAGACAATTTTTCCATAGACCAGGGCTCTGAGGATGGAGGATGGTTTCGGGATTACATTATTTATGCACTCTACATTTATTGTGCACTTTATATTATTACATTATAATACATAATTAAGTAATCATATAACTCCCCATAATCAGTGAAAGCCCTGTTTTCCTGCACCTAGAAGATCCCATCTGGGGGTAGTAGGAGACAGTGATAGGTCTTCAGGCATTAAATTCTCATAAGAAGCACAACTTAGATCCCTCACATGTGCAGTTCACAATATGGTTCCTGCTCCTATGAGAATCTAATGCCACCACTGATGTGACAGGAAGCAGAGCTCAGGAGTAATGCTCACTTGCCTGCCACTCACCTTCTGCTGTGTGGCCTGGCTGGTCCATACCAATATTGGTCCAGGACTCAGGGTTTTGGGACCCCCTGCACTAGGATATCAATTATCAAAAAAAGGCGATGGAGAATAGAAGGATGTGGAACTGCTGATGAGAATGTAAAATAGTGTAGCTGCTGTGGAAAACAGTTTGAAAAGTTCCTCAAAAAGTTAAAGAATTACCATATAATGCAGGAATTTCATTCCTAGGTATACAAACAAAAGAAGTGAAAGTAAGGACTCAAAGTACACTAATCTTTACAGCAGCATTTTATAATAGCCAAACAACAGACATAACCCAAATGTCTACCAAAAAATGAATGGATAAGCAAAATGTCATAGGTACATAAAATGGAATATTATTCAGCCTTAAATAAAGATGGGCATTTCGATATATGCTACAACATGGATGAACCTTGAAAACATTATGCTAAGTGAAATTAGCAAGACACAAAGGGACGAATGTTGTATGATTCCACTTACATGAGGTACCTAGAACAATCTAATTCACAAAGATGGAAATTAGCATAGAGGTTTTCAGGGGCTGGGAGAAGCGGGTAATGAGGTGTTATTGTTTAATGAATAGTTTCTACTTGGAATAATGAAAACATTCTAGAAATAGACAGTGATGGTGGTTGCAGAAAATTTCAAATGAATGTACTTAATGCCACTAAATTATGTGATTTAAAAATGATCAAAATGGTAACATTTATTTTTCTACATATTTTCCTACAATTTAAAAATTTAAGCAATATTATATACAACCCCCTGAAACAGGGACAAATTTAACAAAATACATATACTAAAAACTAAAAGTTCAGAGAGAAATGAAAAACCTACATAAATGGAGAGAACTACCATGTTTACACTTCAGAAACCTCAATGCTGTTAAGATGTCAATTCTGTCAAACTGGTCTATAGATTCAAACTCTCAGCAAGACCTTTTTGCAGCAACAGATAAGTCCATTATAAAGTATAGATGGAAAGTTAAAGAACCTAGAAAAGCCAAAAACAATTTTGAAAAAGAGCAAATTTGCATAACTTTCATGATAGGATTCCAAGACTTGCTACAAAGCTACAGTAATCATATTAAGGACACATGAGATATTACTACACAACCACTAGAATGGCAACAACTCAAATTCAAAAGACCTACAGTACCAAGTATTGGCAAGGATGTGGAGAAACTGAATTTTCATATATCGATGTGGAAATATACATCACTAGAACACAAGGGACTTCATATGTGGCCTACTGGTTTTCAACAAACTTCCAAATGTACTAAATGGAGAAAGGAGAGTCTTCAATATAGTGCTGAACAACCATATGGGAAGAATAAACCCTGGCCTTTGCCTCACACTACCCACAAAAAAATAGCTAAAAATCTACCATAGGCCTAAACATAAAACTATACAACACATCTAGAATAAAAAAATAGAAGAGACTCTTCATTAACTTGAGACAGGCAAAGATTTCTTAGACAAAAAGCACTAACCATAAAAGAAAAAAATGTATAAACTGAACATCAAAATTGGAAGTTTCTGCTCTTTGAAAGGTACGACTAAGGAAACCAAAAGGCAAGGCACAGTCAGAGAGAAAATATTCATAATTCATATTCTTCAAAAAGGACTTATATCCAGATCATATAAGAATTTCCAAATCAATAAGAAGACAATTGATCTCCCCAAAAACAGACTAAGTACTTGGACACTTGACAAAAGAAGATATAGGAATGGCCAATAGACATATTAAAAGATCCTCAACATCATCAGTCACTAGGGAAATATAATTTAATGCCACATGAGGAACCACTACATACACCCACAAGAGGTTATTATTCAAAAGACCTCCAATACCAACTGTTGGCACAGATGTGGACAAACTGAATTTTCATATATTGATGTGTGACTGTCAATGGTACAGTCACTTCAGAAAACAGCTGGGCAGTTTCTTAAGAAGTTAAGCATATACTTTCCTTACTACTCTTAGGCAGCAATTCCTCTCTTAGGTAGCTACCCAAGAAATATCAAAATATATGTGTATACAAAGACTTGTACATGAATGTTCTTAGCAGCATAATTCATAACAACCAAAAATTAAAAACTACCCAAATGTCCATCAAGAAGTGAATGTATAAAAATGAAATACTACTCAGCAGTAATAAGGAACAAATTACTAATATACACAATAACATGGGTGAAGCTCTACATCAGGCGTCCCCAAACTATGGCCCGCGGGCTGCATGCAGCCCCCTGAGGCCATTTACCTGGGCCCCCCGCCGCACTTCAGGAAGGGGCACCTCTTTCACTGGTGGTCAGTGAGAGGAGCACAGTATGTGGCGGCCCTCCAACAGTCTGAGGGACAGTGAACTGGCCCCCTGTGTAAAAAGTTTGGGGACGCCTGCTCTACGTTATGCTGAGCAAGAGAAGTCAGATTAAAATGAATACATAAGATTCCATTTATATGAAATTCCAGAAGAGGTAAAAATCTATAGTGACAAAAAGCATATCGATGATTGTGTGGGGCGGGGGTGTGTGGACAGACTGGCTGCAAAGGGAAATGAAAGGCATTCCAAGGGGGACAGAAATGTTCTATATTACCATGGTGATTCATGAATATAATGCATCCAAGAATATACTTAAGTGTTTACTGTCTGAAAATCAACTTTCAATAAAGTTGATTTTCAAAAAATGTCAATGCAGAGCATTCCAACCAGGGTTGCACAAGATTTCTGAAATCCTGATCCTCTCTCTGGAGTCTCAGCTGGGCAGCAGGGGATAGTATGGATGATACTCAGGTGGAGATGGCAGCTGGAGCCAACTTTCTCATTTATCTCAGTGTGCTGTATATTACTGCTATTTTCTGTGGATACTATAAAAGTTAGAAAGCAATAGCCTAAGAATGTTTTAATGTGGATTACCAACCCTGTTCAAACATTGAGATAAAAATCCTGTACCTTAAGCACACTTATCAATTTTGATCTTGGTGCCTTCTGTCTCTTTAGAAAGTTGTATAAGTAGATATGGGCATTTGGATTTGATGGAAACTTTTCATCATATGCATAATTGGTGAGTACCTCTTGGGCTCCATCTCGATCCCCATAGAATTCCAGCATCTATATAAAATAAATCATATATTAGCTGAATTCTGTAAGACAGCTATATGAAAGATAATACACAGCGTAAGTTTACTGACGGATATTTTTTAAAAAGCACAAAACTGACAGGGCTCCCATTTTTTTCCCTGTCTTTTGTTACTATTAATAAAAAATGCAACACCTCAACATAAATACTCTTCCTATAAAAAATAAGAGTCCTCAAAGCAGGGAATACTAATGCTTGAAAATGTGATGCAACTAACCTCAGTGCCCTACATAACTGCAGCCACAAAGGAGTACACAGGAATTATAGTTCATTTCAATCTGTTCCCATCTTTAAACAGGAATTTCCAGGTTATGATTTTGGAGATTATCTTCTGACAACACAATCATCACGTTAGCACTCATTAATTTTCACAAAGCAAATTATTTTGAAGATGTATTCCTCGTGCCTAGCACCAAGGTCCTCAGTCCTTTTACAATGACTCTGTGATGACAGGACATTCTTATGAACCTCCAAAAAGCCATCATTCTTCATCTCATATATTGTGACCTACTTTCAGATTTTTGTCCTCTTTCCTTCTATATCCCACCAAATCATAAAATACCTTACTGCATTTATTTTAAGCTCAACAAGAATAAGATTGAATTAACATCTACAACTATATTGCTATTTATTTTATAGATATTTGGCCACGATGGGTGATAGAGTGGTGAAAATAAATTCAGAACAAAAAATAGATGCCATATTTTTGTTTTCTCCTAAATAATTTTTTCCATTAGTTTCTTTCTGATCAATAAAGATTAGGTATGCAGTCTCTATACAGGCTTTTGACAAAATAAAACCAATACATTTTATGAAAATTCTACTTACTTCTACATAACTCTTCACAAAAGGGTCCCAAACTCCAGGAATTTTAATCAATGCAGAAATATTTACAGACGTCTTCCAGCTGTGGTTGAACACATCTTGGGCTACTGTGCTGTAAGCATAATCATCTTTATCTGCCCAAAAATAAAAGATCTTTTAACACTAAGTATTGAGAACTTCTATTAACCTAGGAATATAAAAAACTACCCACAAGAAAAACTCAGTTCCTGATAGCTACAATAGTAAATTCCAACAAATATTTAAAGGAAAATACTAATTCTTCACAAATTCTCCAAGAAAAGGACAGATAGGAATACTTCCCAACTTATTCTAAGCCAGTATTACCATGATTCCAAAACCAAAGACAACACAATAAAACTACAAATCAGTCTCTCTTATGAACACAGCTGCAAAAATTTTTAACAAAATACTAGCAAACTCAGTCCAACATATAAAAAGCATTAAATATCATGCCCAAGTGGGATCTATTCTAGGAATGCAAGGTTGGCTTAACATCTGAAAATCAGCTAATGCAAATAATAAAACAGTGATCTATTGATCTAAACCATACTAAAAGAATACAGGACCAAAACGGCATGATCATCACAAGATGCAGAAAAAGCATATGAAAAAAAATACAAGAACCCTTCATGATAAAAACACTCAACAATTTAGGAACAGAAGGAACTTCCTCAATCTGATAAAAGGCATCTATGAAAAACCCATAGCTAACATGGAACTAAATGATAAAAGATTGCATGCTTTCCTCCTAAAATCAGGAAGAAGACAATGATGTTCTTTTTCACTACTTCTGTTCATTATATTGGTGGTTCCAACCAGGACAATTAAGCAAGAACATAACAAAAAGACATCCAAGATTCGAAAGAAAGAATAAAAACTATCTCCATTTGTAGATGACATGTTCTTATACACAGAAAATTCCTAAGAATCCACTAAAAATTTACTGAACTAATAAAATGAGTTCCCAAAGGTTGCAGAGTACACGATCCATAAGGAATAATCAAGTGTATGTCTATATACTTGCAATGAACAATCAGGAAATAAAATTAGGAAAACAATGCCATTTGCAAAAGCATCGAAAGTAACAAAATGGATATAAATTTTACAAAAGAGATGTAAAATTTTACTCTGAAAATAATATGGTTAAGAAAATTTTAAAGACCTAAATGAATGAAAAGACACCCTATACTGTTTAAAAACTTACTATTGTCAAGTTGATCTATAGATACATGTAATTCCTATCAAAAACTCAGTTGGCCTTTTTACATAAGGTGACAGGCTAATTCTATAATTCATATGAAAATGCAAGGGATCAAAGAAGAATAAAGAATCTTTAAAAAGGACAAAGTTGGAGAATGCACACTATGACTTTAAAAGTTACTGTGAAGCTGTAGTAATCAAGACGGTGTGATATGGACAGATGAGAGACATATGTAGATCAATGGAAGATAATTTAGAGTCCAGAAATAAACCTCCACATTTATAGGTAACTGATCTTCTTTTGTGTGTGTGTAAGACAGGGTCTCACTCTATCACCCAAGCTGGACTGCAGTAACGTGATTTCAGCTCACTGCAGCCTCGCTCTACCTCACAGGCTCAAGTGAACCTCACATCTTAGCCACCCAAGTAGCTGGGACTACAGGCACATGCCACCACACTCGGCTAATTTTAGTAGTTTTTATAGAGAGGCATTTTTGTAGAGAGGCATTTTGTAGAGAGGCTCATGCGATTCACCTATCTTGGCCTCCCAAAGTGCTAGTATTACATTAAAAACATTATGCTTTATCAAAATTTTTTGTTAGGGAAAAAATAACCATTACGCTAAGTAAAAGAAGCCATTACAGAAGACCACATACTGTATGATTCCATTTGTTTGAAATGTCCAGAACAGGCAAATCTCTAGAGGCAGAAAGTAGATTCGTGGTTGCCTAGGACTGGAGGGGTAGGGAGAAAGGAGAGCGCAGGGTTTCTTTTCAGGGTCACAAAAATATCCTAAAATTGTGGTGATGGTTGCATAACTCTGTCAGTATACTAAAAACCACTGAGTTGTATATTTTAAGTGGGTGAATTTGTATGGTATGTGAATTATATCTTAATTCTCAATAAAGCTATAAAGAAAAAAAAAATGAGAGATCACTACACCCAACAAATTGGCTGCTATGAAAACTCCAACAATGACAAATGTTGAGGAGAATACAACAAAAGAAAACTCTAATTGGATTGACAGTAGAGTACAAATTGGTAACCTAACCTCTTTGGAAAGAGTTTAGTATATTACATACTAAAGTTAAAGACGCACAAAACATATTCTATGCAAATTCTACTCCTAGAAATGCACATTTATGTATACCAGTATACAGAAATTAATAGGGGTTAATTTCAAAGCATTATTTACAATGGCCCAAAATTATAACCTAAATGGCCATCAATAATAGAAGGAATAGTGTGACTATCACAAAATGTTTTATAACCATAAGAATGAATAAATAAGACCTATATCCAATATTACCTTAAATCCAATGTTGAACAAAATATGCAAGGCCTAAAAGAATATATATAGCATGAATACAAATATTGCATTCAGATATAGGCAAAACTAAATCACACTGTTTACAAATGTATACATAAGTTCAAAGAGTATAAAGAAAAACGAGAGAGTGATTACTGTAAGTTAGGAGAGGGATTTCTTTAGAATGGGAGGAAATGCAATTAGGAAGGCACACAGGGAGCGCTTTCAGGTTAGGGTGACAGTATATTGTGTTCCTTATCTGGGTGGTAGTTCTATGAATGTTCATTTTAAATTTATTCATTATACCTCACATTTGTTTCATATGCTTTTTCTGTATCTATTTCTCAATCTTAAAGGTTTACAAGGCAAGTTACTTAAGTCTTTCAAAAACAGTAGCTATTAGAAGCACAAGATACTGCAAACCAGAGAGGCACTGGTATTTTTTTTCCCAGTGATCAATTAAATATATATCAATATGAACTTAGAAATTAGGTGATAAGAAAAGTAGATTAAACATGATACGGAATTTTTTTTTTTTTTTTTAATAAAAGGGCTGGGAATGGTGGTTCATGCCTATCATCTCAGCAGTTTGGAGACAGGATGATTGCTTGATACATGGGTTCAAGACCAGCCAGCCTGAGCAACATAGTGAGATCCATCTTTATAAAAAAAAAATTAGGCATGATGGTGTACACCTGTAGTCCCAGGTCCTTGGGAGCCTGAGGTAGGAGGATCACTTGAGCCCAGGAGGTCAAGGCTGCAGTGAGCCGCAATCACACCACTGCACTCCAGCCTGGGTGACAGCAAGACTCTGTCTCAAAAAGAAACAGGCAGGTCCCTGAGTATAAATTGAGTGTGAATTTATTATAGAAGGAGCGTCCTGGTCATCAAGTGCATAAATCCCAACCACGACAGAGCAATACGTATAGCAGCAAGATAAGTCCCAAGCTGACTCTGAGTACAAGTTCACATGGTAAATGTCTATGAGTCTGGTTTTAAAGAAGTAGTCCTAACTTATATTCTCATTAAATAGACATTTGAGGTAAATGATCATCTAAGAGTTCTACACATTATTCCATCATCAGCTATTGTTGCTACAGAACTGTCAGCTATGGAAAAGTACTGAATCATCTATCCACAGGAGTAACATTACAAATGCCATGTTCCAACAGCTTTAATCATCAAATATTTGCTTGGAGTTTTACCTAACCATGAGTGAGAAGAAAAGTAAATGCTGACTTTAAAACTAATCAACGAGTGAGCATTTTTAAAAAAGAAATATTACACCAGAAAATATGACAAGACTAACAAATAGAGGATAGATATGACATCAAAAATTAGTCTAAATGGAAAGACATCTGGACTAATAAAATACACATGAAAAAACTTAGCACAGTTAGAAAGCAAGAGATGAAGATCCAAATGATTCAGGCTGAACATGCAGCTGATATATTAGGTTTAAGGTGTAAGAATGAGGGGTTTGGACAGGGATCTAATGAGTCTTGAAGGGTAGGAGCATTCTAGATGAGGAAACTCTACAAAGACCTCACAAGATTATTGTGATGAAGAAGGCATTTAAGAGTATCTTGAAAGAAGAGGGAAGGGAATCGAAATTAGTGAAACTACATGCCCAGAGACCAAGGAAATACTACCTTTTTCTTTCTTTTTTTGAGACGGAATCTCGCTTTGTGAAATACTACTTATCACATAAGGATAATAAGGAAATACTGCTTATCACATATGAAGTGATAAATATTAGGGCTAAGATATAGAGAATAAAAACAGAAAGGGGTTAATTCTAGAGAAAACATGGAGAGAACTATACAAGGGAAGCAAATTGCAAAGAATCACACAGCTCCAAAGAATGCAAATCTGGACATAAATGAAGATGGTAACATGCCACTGAAGGTTAACAGAAGGGGTATCAGTTTGAGAACTGAATGGTCAATGTCTGGTGTAGTCAATAAATCAGGAAAATTGTCCATTATAACCTGCGTACAAAAATGAAATGACCATCTTGACCTATTCTTTTTTTTTTTTTTTTTTTTTTTTGAGATGGAGTTTCGCTCGTTACCCAGGCTGGAGTGCAATGGCGCGATCTCGGCTCACCGCAACCTCCGCCTCCTGGGTTCAGGCAATTCTCCTGCCTCAGCCTCCTGAGTAGCTGGGATTACAGCCATGCACCACCATGCCCAGCTAATTTTTTTGTATTTTTAGTAGAGACGGGGTTTCACCATGTTGACCAGGATGGTCTCGATCTCTTGACCTTGTGATCCACCCGCCTCAGCCTCCCAAAGTGCTGGGATTACAGGCTTGAGCCACCGCGCCCGGCTTGACCTATTCTTTAAACATTATTCGGAGAAACAACATTACAAAACACGTTAAACTCCATTCTAAGCACAAAGGAAGAAATGTTTATTGTATGTGATAATGACTGCTGAAGAAAATCTGTAGCCTTTCTTAGAAACTGGCAAAGACTTTCTTCCTGACTAAACTCCAGTCAGGCTCCTCTGTGCTCTCTTCTGGACGAGGTCTCACACTTGGCAAATAGAGACTTGAAGAGGCACTAATATAGTTTGTAACAGTTCAAGGCCACACCCCCAGGATGACCCTAGCCCCTCTTGAAATGCTTGCCTGGGAAAACTCCAGAAGAATTTACTGTGGGTTCTGGTTTCTACTTTTTAAGCTCCCTACTCCCACCCTTTACAACCCTAAGTCACCTCCACAGAAACTGGCATGGAGCTTAGTTCTTTCTCCTACTGTTAGCAGTTACTGAATCAAACCTGTCTTCACTGCTCTAATGTCTGGCTGTTTATCCTTGACTAAATCACATTTAAAACAGCAATGAACCTAAAATGATCATGAACTTAATTATGAACCATCTAAGTGTTTTATATATCAGAAATATTATAAAGGATGATCAAGAATTTAAATCCATAAAAAGTCTGTTCTCCGTAATATCTGGTTGAAGTTGATAGGGAAATTACTAGATTACTCCTTAAGATCTCTTAGCCCAGGCGTCCCCAGACTACGGCCCGCGGGCCGCATATGGCCCCCTGAGGCCATTTATCCCCCCCCCCCCCCCGCCGCACTTCAGGAAGGGGCACCTCTTTCATTGGTGGTCAATGAGAGGAGCACAGTATGTGGCGGCCCTCCAACGGTCTGAGGGACAGTGAACTGGCCCCCTGTGTAAAAAGTGTGGGGACGCCTGCCTTAGCCCCTCAGTCTCATCACAAGAAAAATCTACCTGCATTCACTCACCAAGCTTTGACAATTCGCTTTTCTTTTTAGACCAGGTATAATACTGCAAAAGCCCTTTGTAGGCCTGAATAAGGTTGATTAATATTTCCCGGGAAGACGTCTTTTCACCATGTCTCCATGTCTCTGCCTCACTCAGATTTCTCTTTGCATCTTCAAGCATTCCATGATGCAGAAGATATAATGCGTGTTGTAAGGAGATCTGCAAAAATAGTAAGGGCACACTGCCGTTTAAGCCATTACATAGTCAAAAAGCTCAGTAAATAAACAATACATGCTGGGCTAAGACCTTGGTAGGATACAAATAAGCTGACACTGAAAATTTTGATGTTGGGGACAATCTAGCAAAGAAGTAAGACACAGGAAACAATTAACACTATGTAGATTTGAGCTAAATTATGTAAACTTACCAACAGAAGACAATGTGATATAGTGGGGTCAAAAAGGGCTTTGAAGATAGAGTGTCTTGGTTCATACGCCACTTAAAAACTAAACCAGCCAGGCACAAGGGCTCACACCTGTGATCCCAGCACTTTAGGAGGCTGAGGCGGGCGGATCATGAGGTGAAAAGATTGAGACCATCCTGGTCAACATGGTGAAACCCCGTCTCTACTAAAAATAGAAAAATTAGCTGGGTATAGTGGCATGCACCTGTAATCCCAGCTATTCGGGAGGCTGAGGCAGGAGAATCACTTGAACTCAGGAGGCAGAAGTTGCAGTGAGCCAAGATTGTACCATGGCACTCGAGCCTGGAGACAGAGTGAGACTCTGTCTCAAAAATAAATAAATAAATAAATAAACCAACAAAATAGACCTAGGTAAATTATTCACCCTTTGTGAGTCTCATTTATTTTACAGAATATTATTGGCCCTTCAGAAGGGTGTTTTCAAGATTAAACAATATTTGCAATCCACCTAAAACCTAGTTTGGCCCACAGCAGACATTCAAGAAATATTACTATTTTATACATTTTATATAAGCTTAGAGAAAATATCTTAATAAGGAATGTTGAAGAATGGCTTCAGTTCACATAGAAAGTGTATCCCTGATACAGGAGAAGCAGGAAGAATAATTACACAAAGAATTAGTACTAGAAGAAAGGAAGACATTAAAGAGGAGAATAACGAGAACTACAATTAATCATTTAGGTAAAGCCAAAATACTGCAATAATTTGTAAACTGGCCTCTCCATTCCTGCATCCCTACAATCCATCTTTCAACGGGCTACCAAAGAAATCTCATCTTGTTAGTCATTTACACAAACTCCTTCAATGGCTCCCACTGACTACAGAATTAAAATCCAAGTTCCTTGAGTATGGGATACAGGGCCCAGCCTACTTCCCCTGACCTCTACCCAAGTGATCTTTAGAGCGACTAAAGTATCGGATATAGGGCTACTGAACTCTTTACAACTCCTGCCATGCAGGACTGCCCTTTCCCCTAATCTGCCTCGTGAACACACAATTACTTTTCAAACTAATCTCAAATACTACTTTCATTCTTTTCCTGGTTCTCCAACCCATTAAATCCTAACCCTCTCTAGTTCCAGAGAACTGGCCATTTTCTCCTTCATCTCATTGTGAGTTGTATTTCTACTATGGCACTCATAACACTTCGTTCCATTTACATGATCTTCCTCTACTGTAAGAACCGTATCTAGCACCTGGACTGGTAAACTGCAATAAGTGTTTTTAAAATTATTAACAACAAAAAAATGTTTTATTATCTATCCTAATTATCATTCTCAGACTCTCATGGAGAAATTAGGTTCCCTTTCAGTTTTTTTACTTCAACTGAGTAGATTCTATCAGCCAAAATGGACCTAACCAACAGTCTAAACTTCAGTACTCCCTCCTCCATCAAATGGCTATCCAGTTACTACCTGAAAAAAGAGATGCAGAACACACATCGGGGTAGGCCATTCTCATTTCCAATTGTTTAGTAAGAAAGCTCTTCTTAGGGCCGGGCACAGTGGCTCAAGCCTGTAATCCCAGCACTTTGGGAGGCCGAGGCGGGTGGATCATGAGGTCAAGAGATCGAGACCATCCTGGTCAACATGGTGAAACCCCGTCTCTACCAAAAATACAAAAAATTAGCTGGGCATGGTGGTGCGTACCTGTAATCCCAGCTACTCAGGAGGCTGAGGCAGGAGAATTGCCTGAACCCAGGAGGCGGAGGCTGCGGTGAGCCGAGATCATGCCACTGCACTCCAGCCTGGGTGACAAAGAAAAGAAAAGGGAAAAGGAAAAAAAAGGTCTTCCTTATGTAGAACCGTAAGCTGCCTCCACTTAATTTCCACTCACAGTACACCTGTCTACCACAGAACAAAATCATAAGAGCACTTGGCACATAAGTAGACACTCAAAACATTTTTTTAAAGCAAAGCATTTACAAACTTGTATTAAAAAAGTACTCTTTTCAGACATACAGGAGATACAATATTTTGAAAATGTCTTAATCCTTCTGGATAAGACTTTTACAAAAGAATATATAAACTTGGAGGTAAAGATTCTACCTAAACATTAGGAGCATTAAAATATTTTCATGTGTTTATATTCCCAACTTGTTTAGCTCTTTTCTTTTCCTAAAAATGCCAACTCTAAGCTGTAATGACTTCAACAAACCTTTTCGATTTTGGCCCATCATCATAATGAAACACCACTGCAATCTCTAAATAACTGGTTTTGACATCCAGAAGAAATATACAAATGAAAGGAATTTTTAGTCCGAGAAACAAGGAGGTGACTGAAAACCAGGAAGTAAATGGTTCTCACAACACTCTTTTCTTTCCTTTCCTCTTATTTAACCAGATGTCTTAACCTTGTCCCACATTTTTTTTTAGACGGAGTCTCGCTCTGTCGCTGAGGCTGAAGTGCAAAGGCACACTTTCGGCTCATTGCAACCTTCGCCTCCAGGGTTCAAGCAATTCTGTCTCAGCCTCCCAAGTAGCTGGGATTACAGGTGCATGGCACCATGCCTGGTTAATTTTTGTATTTTCAGTAGCGACAAGGTTTCACCATGTTGGTCAGGCTGGTCTCAAACTCCTGACCTCGTGATCCCCCACCCTTGGTCTCCCAAAGTGCTAGGATTGCAGGTGTGAGCCACCGCACCCAGCCTGTCCCACATTTTTTACATTATCTACCTTATCACTGACATGAGCAATTAAAAAAAAAAACAAAACCACAAGCATAAATTCACAAAGCCCATATTCTCACCTTTAAATAATTCATGATGCCAATATTTTTCATCCGGTCAGCAAAAGTATTGAAAGTCTCCACATTGCTTTTGGGATGATAAAATAGAATTTCACTTCCAAGCTTCCAAATAATCTGTCAAACCAGAAATTACTACCAAAATGTAAAATTCTTGCCTTAACCAACTTCTATCTATTTTTTCCTGATTACAACATTAATAATCTGTGATTCCTTTTCCTAGAGACCACTACCATCAACATTTTCTCTACTTTACCCTATAAAATTAATATTACCTTCTTATGTGATAAAAGTTTTAACCTTTTAAATTTCTAATAAAATATCAGATAGTATAATAGTATCATTATTAATTGAGGAGTTTAAAGAAAATAGGCAGTTAAGATACATATTGAATATAAAATATTTAACTGGTATGGAAGGAAGAATATTAAAGTCAGAAAACTTGGTTCTAATTATATTGGCTTCCTCATTGGTCTTAGCCTCATCTTCATCATCTGCAAAATGAGGGCAACAAACTAGATGTTTCCTGAGACCCCATCAATTTCTACAACTATTGACTACATTTATTCTATATTTAGAATGCCAATTTAAGAATTTTCATCAGCTATGGACAAATCTTAATAAAAAAATAATTTATACTTAAATCACCAAAACTTTGGGGACAGAACTTGGAGCTCTTTTTTCATGAGAGCAAATCTCTATTTCTCTAACCTATATTTAAAGTACATCAATAACACCAACTTCAAAGTAAATTAAACTGAACTGTAAATCAATTATTTCTGTGAACATACACACTGGTTATATGTGTATATACACATACTATCACTGGTATAATTATATATGATACACATATTATCATTTGGTATAATGATCCTCATCTTCCCAACTCAGAGATATCAAGATTTCATTTGTAGAATATCACACTGTAGTATTTGGGGAGCTTAAAGAAAACTTAGATTTTGGACCACCTCCCACCAGGAATGGGTAAATGCAGGGGGGAAAAAGCAGGAAAGAAAAAAAAAAAAATTTCAAGATTATTATAGCTATTCTTACACCCAGTTGTACACAAGAATTACATGGGACACCTGTTAACAATAAATATTCTGATTCAATAGGATGGGGGTGAGTACAGGAATGTATACTTTCGATGAAAGCCTGAGGTGATCCAAACAGAGCCAAAGAAGTGCTTAAAAAAAAAAAAAACACTGATCCAATTCCTTTATTCTATGAAACAAAATCTGGACAAGAATCTGTAACTTGTCCAGTGTTTTACTGGTATATGCGACTTTAGTCCAAAAATTAAATTTTCAATCAATGGTTAAACTTTTTTTGTTTTGTTTTGTTGTTTTGTTTTTGCTCTAGAAGATAACTAACAGATGCAATGGTGACTGTATTAGTAAAAGCTATGGGTAAACTTTCTTTTACTGAACAAATAGAGCAGCATGTGCCAGGCACTGTTTTAATCCTGCCCTGTGACATTTACATTGTATGTAGAGAAACAAACAATAACCAAAAACCATAATTAAATTGTCAAGTGTTAGGGGGAAAAAATGGAGCAAAAGATAAGGAGATCAGAAGTGCGATTCTGAAAGTGCAGGTTGCAGGTGAAGTAAGGCAATTGTAATTTTAAATAGTCAAGGTAGGCCTCACTGAAAAGAGGCCTTGAAGGAGAGTGGCTATAGTGACATCTGAAGAGCTTTCCAAGAACTGGTTAAGGCAAAGGCAATCAGTCAGGAATATGCCTGGCCCATTTAAGTAGGAACAAGGAGGCCAGTGAGGATGGAAAAAAAACAAGCAGGAGAATATAAGTTGAGTAACCCTTATCTGAAATCCTTGGGATCAGAAATGTTTCAGACTAGGGATAGGACCAAAGGTTAAACATGAAATTCACTTATGTTTCATATACACCTCTAGACATAGCCTGACAGTAATTTTATACAATATTTGTAAGATTTTGTGCATGAAACAAAATTGCATACACTGAACCATCAGAAAGCAAAGGTGTCAGTATCTCATGTCAGTACTCAAAAAGGTTTGAATTTTGTAGCATTCTGCTTTTCACATTTTTGAATTGAGAATGTTCAACCTGTTACAGGAGATGAGGTCAGAGAGGTCAAACAAGGAAAAGGAGTGAGCACATCACACAGGAATTTACAGGCAATTATGACTTTGCTTTTACTGAATGAAATGGAAAGCCATAACAGTGTTTTTAGCAGAGGAGTGGCATGCTGTGATACGTTTTAGAAAGCTCACTCTGAATCATTAGTCATTAGAGAAACGCAAATCATAGACAGGATGATGCCACTTTACAACCACAAGGATGGCTATTATCAGTAAGACAGGACAGTAACAAAATATTGGCAAGGATTGGACAAATTAGAAGGCTCAGATATTGCTGGTAGGAATATAAACGGTGTGGCCACTTTGGAAAACAGTCTGGCAGTTCCTCAAGAGGCTAAACAAAGTGTTACCACATGACCCAGCAATTCCACTCCCAGGTGTAGACCCAGGAGAAATTAAAACAAACATCCACACAAAAACTTGTACACAAAAGTTCATAGAAGCATTATTTCCAATAACTGAAAAGCAAAAACAACCTAAATGTCTAACAACTGATAAATGGACAAATAAAACATGGTAGTTCCATATAACAGATTATTTGGCAATAAATACATGCCACAACATGGATAAACCATGAAAACATTAGGCCAAGTGAAAGACACCATTTACAAAAGGCCACATATTATATGATACCACTTATATGAAATTCCAGAATAGAAAGTAATAGATTAGGCTGGGCATAGTGGCTCACGCTTGTAATCCCAGCACTTTGGGAGGCCAAAGTAGACAGATCGCTTGAGACCAGGAGTTCAAGACCTGCCTGGCCAATAGAGTGAAAACCTGTCTCCACTAAAAATACAAAAAATTAGCTGGGTGTGGTGGTGCATGCCTCTAATCCCAACCACCCAAGAGGCTGAGATACAAGAATCACTTGAACCCAGGAGCTGGAGGTTGCAGTGACCAGAGATTGTGCCACTGCACTCCAGCCTGGGCAACAGAGTAAGACTCTGCCTCAAAAGAAAAGAAAAAAAGAAAAAGAAAGTAAAGGATTAGTGTCTGCCAGTGTCTGGCAGCTGTGAGGAGGAATGGGGAAAGACTGCAAGGGGGTACAGGGTTTTGGTTTCATGGCGGGAAAAAAAGGCTCTAAATTTAGAGTGTGGTAATGGTTGGTTGCACAATTCTGTGAATATGTGAAAATACATTGAATTGTACAATTTAAATGGATGATGGTGTATTAACAATGTATTGATAAAACTAAAAAAAGGATCACTTTAGTTGGAAAAAGAATAATTCTTTCCAGAAGTTTTGCTGAAACAGAGTAAAACAATGACATGTAGTCTGTAGGGGAAGTTGGGGTCAAGAGATGATTTTAAGATAGAATAACAAAATTTTTATATGATGATGGGAAATATCCATAAGGAGGGGGGAAAAGAAACAATTATTGGAATGAATGAATATTTTAGTCTCCTTTAAAATAACAGGTAAAAAGAAGTATTCAAAAATGATCCCAATACAAACTCTCCGCCCAAAAGTAGTTTTAGTAGCTTTTAGGAAAATAACTGAGATTCCGTAAAAGCGACTGTAGGTGAAGCTGGAGGCAGAAACTCCTGGGAATCTATCATTTCTTCCAGCAAACTCAAACTTTGTTTACCTCAGGTGCAGCCTGTCTTTTGTAGCTATCTGAATCTTCCAAGGTCTGAAAATAACTGTACATGTATCCTGCAGCTTGCTGCCACTGGTGCTTCAGCAGAGCTTCTTGGATAAAACTCAAACAAGCACTTGTTGTCTGAGCAAAATCCTTCTTCCTTTTCCCTCCAATGGCTATAAAAATGAAACAGAAGAGTTTTCTTCCATAGTGACTCCAGTTCAACTTTGACAAAACTTACTTCTAAGTTTTAACAAGTAAACAGTAGGTATTACTTGACCCAGCCCATTCCCAGTATTCACTTGAAACACACCCGTCCACATTAATTATTTTTAGCAAATAAAAAAATATCCAATTTGATGTTTTGGGGCTACTAGAGTGACCAGATCCTTTAAATCTGATTCAATCATCCTTTTATCCTTGTACTAAATAATTTGGGGAAAATCTCTCAAACAGGCCCCCAAAAGCACAGTCCCAAGTATTTAGAATGGATAAAATGCCAAGTTCATTCTAGGCAAACATGGTCTTTATTACCTTCCCATGTTCTGCAAACTCCAAATGGGCTTTTATTTTTTAAGGACCAAATTCCTAGTAACTCAATGATATTAAATACAAATGAGATTAAAACAGTTGTAAAAATTAGCATTTATATCTCTAAAGTATTGGCAATCCCCATGTTAAGAACAGAATGACTAGTTATAGTGTTACCTCCTCTTCTCTTCCCATATAACTTCCGGCCCCCCTCTAGTCCAGCTGGGTAACTGTACCCCGTAAGTACAAAAAGACCAACAGGTACTTTGCTAAGATCCAACTTGCAGATCTTTGATTTCCTTATATACCCTTTCCAAAAGTTAATCTCCTAGACAGCTGTGCCTATATAGCAAAAGCTTCACAATCAAAATCATTACACATTATCTGAAGGTGAAAACGCAGGTGGTGAAAAAGTAAATGACATCTCCTTTTGCAAGTTAGGCAATTCCCAATTCTTTGCTTATCAAAACTGCAGAACAACATAATTTTTTACAATAAGTCACTATATAATTTTTCATGAATAATTTAGAAAAAGTTCAAGGACCCGATACATGGCTATAATTAAATTCCATTCACTGCCATCTACTTACTTGTGTGACTAAAGTTTCTCAAAATTTATGTTAATTAAAACAAAATATAGCAGAATCAATGCTAAATCTTTTCTCATTCTAGAAATACACAAAAGTCACCCATAAATACATACAAAAATTGGGAAAAAGTGATAGGTAACTTTAAACACAGAGAGAGAGAGAGAGAGCGAGAGAGAGAGAGAGAGAGAGAGACTTGCTCTGTCACCCAGGCTGGACTGTAGTAGCACATTCATAGCTCACTGCAGCCTTTACCTCCTGGGTTCAAGTGATTCTTCCTTTTGGCCTCCCAAAGTGCTGGGATTACAAGCATGAGCCATCACACCCAGACAACACCTTGAATACATATGTTATATTGATCAGCTATGTATAACTATTAATGATGATGTCTCAACCTAGAAAAAATTTTAATCCTTAAAACTTACAGGATATAAACAAAAAAAAGTATGTTGATGCATACTTTTATTGCAAGAAGTATAACAAAAAGGAACACAAAATTTCCACTCTATTAAAAGCTTTTTCATGATTTGTTTTTAAATGACAATGCAAGGCATTACAACCCTATGCTATTCCTATGCTATTTGGACTCCATCACATATAAAGTAATACATATTAATTTAAAAATACCAACATCCTGGAAATTATTTCTTGCAAACATTAAACATATAGTAAAATTTTTTCAGATGATACCTTAAAACTGTGCAAGGTAGTAGTCAATTTTTCAAAAAAAAGTAGTGGATACATAAGTGAAAAGTTTGAAGACTACTGACTGCTTCAAACTAGTGTTCTCAGACTTTTGAATGTACATACAAATCACCTGGGGACCTGACCCTTGCTACTCAATGCGTTCCTGGAACATGAAGCACTAGTATCACCTGGAATCTTATTACAGTGTACTATGCCCAGCTCTCTGAATCAGAGGCTACATTTTATAAGTTCTACACCAAAGCTGCTCAAGATCAGTGGCAATACCAGCCAGCTAGCCTAGGAAACTAACAAAACATCTCATCCTTAAAACATCTTTTATCTACCTAAAGGAGAGAACTGTTCTCAGGCTAAGCTCCCTTCTATCTCTTAAGCTTTCACAACTGAGATTACAAATCAACTTTAGACAACTATACCTAAATGCTGGGAAAATACCCTTTTGTCTTCCAACCTGGCCTAGTTACCTCAGGAAAAGTTCTCCTTTCATTTCATTCTTTAATAAGCAAAAAGTAGTCTTACATGAGCCTGATGACTTTAAGAAAAAAAATTGTCAAGGAAAATACATTTTCACATGGAATAGAGATGTATAATAAAGAACCAGTGTCATCAACCTAACTTCTAATATGCTACTGAAAGAATCTGGAAACTTATCAATCTGTCAACAAATATTTTTTGAGCACCTCTGTGTGCCAAGCACTACTCTAGGTACTCATCACACAGCTTCAATCCAGACTTGTCCCGTCTTCAAAGTTTTTATTATAAGGGGCTTGCTGGGCATGCCCTCCAAAATGCCAAAAGGTATCTACCAGCATAAAAAATAACTATGGTAATTGTCAGGCAATTTTGTTTTCCTATTATGGTTAATTACCAGAACAATGTCATTATTACTTCCAAGTATTTTCTCATTGCAGACCAAAAGTATTTTGAGTTTAACAGACTATCTATGACGTGAAATATTTCTAAGCATGTACATTTTGGTCTTTGGTCTTAAACCCATCTGCTTGCAGACTGACTCAGACTCTCTATAGAACACTGCTAACAGAAACATGCCCAAGTATGGCATAGCTACAGGAAATTTAAATTACTTAGTTCCCTGCCAGGGATGAGGTAGCACTATCCCTGATGTATCATTCATTCAGATCTGCCTTAAGCCATGTGCATTAATTTAGCAAAAATAAAATGAGGAGAGGAAAGGCACTATTATTTTTCAACGCTCACTATGCATGAGGTACTATGCTAGGCACTTTAAGTACACTATCTCATTTTTAAAAATATAACTCAGTGGTTAAAAGTATAGTCTTTGAGATCATACAGACCTGGGTTTGACTCCTGATACCACCACTTAAAAGTGTAATGTCTTTTGAGATTCAGTTTCCTCCTACCTAAACTGTCTAGCACAAAAATTATTGAGGATTAACTTACTGAGATCATTAAATGAGATGATAATTAGATTAATATAAAAAAGTAAATGCGAAATTTTAGGAGCCAAGGAATCTTTATCAAGGGGAGAAAAGGCTGGGCAAAAAATACATATTTAAGGGCAATAAGTAAAATGCTGGTTCAAATGTACTCCCAGGACTATACCACTCAACATGGCAGCATACAGATAATTGCTTCTTTTATTTATATTAAATATATTATATTTATTTTATATATATTCTTATAGGAAAATTATCATAGAAAAACATGCTTGCATTTATACTAGATAAAAATGGGGGAAATTTTATCCCATAGAAAAACATGCTTGCATTTACATTAGATAAAAACAGGGAAAATGCTCTTCTATCTAGGCCGGGCACAGTGGCTCATGCCTATAATCCCGGCACTTTGGGAGGCGGAGGTGGGCAGATCACTTGAGGTCAGGAGTTCCAGACCAGCCTGGCCAACATGGTGAAACGCTGTCTCTACTAAAAATACAAAAATTAGCTGGGCGTGGTGGTGGGTACCTGTCATCTCAACTACTCAGGAGGCTGAGGCCAGAGAATCACTTGAATTCAGAAGGCGGAGGTTGCAGTGAGCCAAGATCAGGCCACTGCACTCCAGCCTAGGTGACAGAGTGAGACTTTGTCTCAAAAAATAGATATATATATTACATGACCAAATCTATTAGAAATAATATCAATGCAATTCAACAGTAACTTCTTGAATACTTCCTAGGTGTGTTTTCCTCAATGGCAGAGACTGTATCTTCTTCAGCTGTAACTCTCCAATATTTAGTCAATGCCAGAGATTCAGTAAGTATTACTAAAAAACGTGTATCTAGCATAATACAGACTATCTATTATTAATCCGAGGGCAAAGAATTCTAAAAAAAAAAAAGATTTTTTTTTTTTTGGCTTACAGCCTAAAAATTACCCCACATATTCCTATCTTGAAAATTAGACCAGCCTGATTATTCATTTTGTATCTGTATTGAATCTTACCACTTTCCTAAAGTTAAAATGGTTCAATGTTATTACTTTACTTACCCACAGCTTCTATGTATGTTTGAAGCCAAGGAAAATGCATTCCTGCACCAGAGAGCACAGATGTTTCCACTTGTTCATCATCTGTTACAGGCCCTTTTAATTCTTCACTGAAATCACTCATACCTATTACAAACTGAGAATATGAGTTACTTTTTGTACATCTTAACCCAGTCTTCTGAATTGTACAGAAAAACAGCCATCTTTTTATCTAATAAATATAATTAGATCAGCAAAATGCATTATACCTGTGAGCTCTTCTAAAGTAAAAGATAAATTATGTCAGCAACAGCCAAAATAAATGATACATAAAAAAGACCAAACTACCAGTTTCAAGCCCATACAAAGAAAAATAAGATACTGCCCTGTAATTTAAAAAATGTCAAGTCCAGACGAAGAAACAGCAAAACGTGTAATAACAAAACAATATGAGAAGTACAATAACAGTAGTAGTAGCTAATATTTATTAGGCCCTTACTATGTACCAGAAGTATAAATTATCTAATTTAATTCTCACAGCAATCCTGAGGGGCGTATATTACTTTCTTCCACGTTAAGGTTGAAAAAACTCAGGGGCTCAGTGAAATGATGAAACCTGCCTAACGTTACAAAAAAAGGTGATGTTACAAAAAAAAAAAAAAAAAAAGGAAATAGAACACCAAACTACTTGGCCATGACTAGAATTCGGGGTATGTGTGGAGGAGGGGTGCGGAAGGTGAGAAGCGAACCTAGAAAGACAATCATAAGCCAAGCTGAGTTTAGACGTATTCCTAAAAATGCTCAGGGCCCCTCCCTCATTCCCTATATGAAATCGAGTATTGGTGCCTGATACTACCTCCTAAATTTCCCCAGTTTCCCCTGTTCTCTGCAATCTTACAGCACTTCCCTAGTTCAAGACCCCTTACAACAGTGTCTAGATTACTGCGTTAGCTTTCTAAATAACTACCCTGCCTCCGATTCTACTTCTTTGCATTACAGCCAGAGTAAACCTTCTAAAATCAAATTCTGTGGCTAGGAGTATGAGTTATAAGTAACAACTGAATTTAAATTCGACCCATCAAGTATTCTGAGGAGTAGTTACACAAATCCTCCCTTCCCAAATCCTCAAAATTCCAAATTGGTGTCCCGCAGTTGCCACGGCAACCAAAGCTTCTCCATCCCCCTTCTCTCGTTCTCAGACCCCAATAGCTTCAGTATTAGGAGGAAATATCAGAAGAACATGGATGACTTCTGACACACCCCTTCCCGTTCCATTTAAAGGCAGGAACCATGCAGGAACCGCGGCACTTACCCGCCAAAAGTTAGAGCTCCTCAGTAAAGCTAAACACAGACTCCGACTCCGAAACACGTGAAATGTTCACCGGAAAACGGGTTAGGAGAGCTTTATATGAGCATGCGCAAAACCCGCCTTAGGCGTTCAGGGAGCGCGCGGCCCCGCTCCTCCGGCAGCTGCAGACGTCTCATTGGCCTCTCCTCGACCCCGGAAGTGACTTGTGGACGTGACCCGGAAGTGACGGTAAATTGCCGTGCTCCCGTTGGTTTTGGCTGAGTTTTACATTTTTGTCTGTCTCAGCCAGAAAGTGGAAGACTTTCGTTTCAAATGGAAATTGGGGCAAGGGGTCGGCGGCTGGGTGAAGGGACCATTCGAAAGAGTAGAATGTGACTTTACCCGAGAAATTCACTACAATGGGCTCGGCTCCCAGGGGCACTGCACGAGTGAGTGGAGGCGTGGCTAGCGGCTGTGACGAGATAAATCCATGCAGAGCCTTTTTATTGCGAGCTTGAAAGTTCTTTTCCATTACAGTTTTAGCTTTGGGTTTAATTGGTTCGACTGCCTTCACGATTTGGGCGATAATTTCTTTTGCCTTCTCACGAGAGGTTGTTCTGCGGGCCCGTCTGGGGTCAACTTTCCTGAGGGACATGGAGACCAAGGGAAATATGAGTCGACAGTAAATGGTTAAGCCGTGTGAAATGAGAGACATTTGAGGGATTCTAGGGAAGATGACCCCGGAAAAGGACTAGAGGCCCATGGAAACGCAGTGTGCTGCTCCAATATTTAGAGGGCTGATCCGTGAAAGAAAGATCAGATCCTTTTTCATAGCAGCAGAGAACAGAACTAGGACTAATAAGTGAAAGCTAAAGGGAGGCTGCGTTCAAGTCATAGCAAGAAAGAATTTTGTCCACAAATAAGGATGCACGAATAATAGCATAGGCTGCCCCGGGAATCACTGAGTTTCCTCTTTGAAAGTGAACAATTTGAGTAGAATCAGGGTTTGGGGAAGGTGATTAGAGCATTTAGTAAGAGTTCGAGCCCGGGTGGGGTGGTTCATGCCTGTAATCCTGACACTTTGGGAGGCCGAGGCGGGTAGATCGTTTGAGCTCAGGAGTTTGAAACCAGCCTAGGCAACATGACGAAACCCCATCGCTACAAAAAGTAAAAATAATAATAATAAAAAAATAGCTGGGGTGGTGGTGCATGCCTCTAGTCCCAGCTACTCGGGAGGCTGAGGTAGGAGGATCACCTGAGACCGGGGAGGTTGAGGCTGCAGTGAGCTGTGATCATACCACAGCACTCCAGTCTAGAGTAGGGGACAGAATGAGACTCTATTAAAAAAAATAAATAAGTTTGTACATGGATTTCTTAAAATGCTACAAATACTCGATTCTATGTTGTGTTCAGAAACAATATGAAGCAGTTATGGGCTTGCAAGAAAAGTTCTTTCTGCTGCTCTTTCTGTCCTTAGTTCTTGTCCTCACTCAAGCCTGCGCTCTAACTCTACAGGCAGGGCTACCTAAACGATACGTAGTCCAGGAGAGCACACACAAATTAGCACACATAATTATTACCTTCTAATCTAGAGGCTTAGTCCGTCTACTTTTCTCCCTTTGGTCTGAGGTATAAATTCACCAAAACCAACCCAGAAATGATTTTATATGGCCAAAAGTTTATGTTCTCCCAAAAATGAGGAAGAACTTTCTGATTTTCCTTGAGGTTCTCAAACACCTCTACAGAACAGTAGGTAACAATGGGAAAGTTAAGAATAACATAATATACTCTACCTACCATTTTTCTTTCCCGTGCCACAATTCTGAAAGAAAATATGTTGGAGAGAAGGGATTTTTTAAAAATCAACTGTATCACATCCAATAGCATAAGCAAGAAGGAAGGAGGGAAGGTGTGGTGGCAGGCACCTGTAGTCCCAGCACTTCCAAAGATTGCTAAGCTCAAAGGTTTAAAAGTTCAGTGCCATCCTGGACAACATAGAAAGACCATGTTAAAAAAAAAAAAAAAAAAGCATGACAAATATGAAAACATAAAGCTTACAAAAGATTTTTGTATGTTTCAATCTATAAGAAAACATATCCTAAGAAAAATGAAAAATATGTTCTTACAATTGCTTTGTGCTAAAACACAACTTAATATGGTGATGAATTATGGTTTTTTTAAAAGTTGCGAACTGTCATTTAAGGAATATTGTTTCCATGAATGCTTCCTGTACGATCTATTAAAGAACAAACCTCACACAGCCAAACAGTTGAAGAGACCTTGTCATAGACTATCCTATATCACAGCTAAGAATGAAAAAGGAATGTGACATGAAAGCATAAAAACAAAACAAAACAAAAATGAAAGCATAAAAACAAAAACATCTCAGATAATAATATGGAGAAAACTAAAATACATGGGCTAGAATTCCACCCCAGGGACTGTATCCTCAAAGACAGCTTTTTTCCTTTTTTCTTTCTTTTTTTTTATGTCAGTACTCTGAGCTGCTACAAAAAGAAGTCCAGCCTATCCTGTTGGAGAGAGTGGCCACATGAAGAAGAGCCCTTGAAGTATGAAGACCACGTGGAAAGAGAGCCACATGGAACCAACAGTCAGCACCCTGGTTTCAAACATATGAAGAAATTCATCTCAGACTGTGCATTCTAAATCAGGCATTTGCTGAATGCAACTACATGAGTGAGCCCAGTTGACAAAACGTGGAGCAGACGTGAGCTGTTCTTGGTGAGCCCTACACAAATTCCTGACTCACAAAATTGTGAGCAACAAAATGGCTGTTATTTTAAGCCACTGAAGTGTGCAGTGATTTCTTATACAGAAATTGATACATGAAACACAGACATAGATCATTTGCATCTTCTGTCTTTTTTTGACTAGTTTTATTAGAGATTGCCGGTTTATTTCTGCCATGGTTAGAAAACAAACCCTGAAATTTTGATACTTAAAAGTTTTTTTGAGACTTCCTCTGCCAAGAATGTAGTCTATTTTGGTAAATGTTCTGTGAGCACTAGACGAGAATGTGCATTCTGTAGTTGTTGAGCATTGTGTTCATCAAGGTCAATGCGGTTAAGGTGGCTAATAGCTTTCTTCAGATCTTCTATATTGTTATTGTTTTGTGTATAGTGTTACTATTAATTATTGAGATAAGAGTGTAAAACCTAAACTATGGCTGTGAATTTGCCGCTTCCTTTAGTTTTGTCACCTTTTGCATTTTTGAAGCTCTGTTATGAGGCATCTAAACATTATGGTTCTTGTGTCTTCCTGATGAATTGACCATTTTATCATTATGAAATGTCTTTATCTCTGATAATATTCCTTATCTTGAAGTCTAATTCATCCGATATTAGTAAAGCCACTACAGCCTTCCTAGCTTACTGTTTACTGGTATATCTTTATCCATCTTTTTACCTTCAACCTGTGTTTTTTAATTTAATGTGCTTCCCTTATAAGCAAAAGATAATTAAGTCTTTTTATTTTTAATCCAATCTGTTTTTGATATGTTTACTCCATTTATAATAATTGATATTGTTGAGTTTAAGTCTATTCTTTTGCTATTTGTTTTTGATTTGTCCCATTAGTTTTGTGTTCCTTATTCTTTACTTCCTGCTTTCTTTTGGGTTAATTAATGTTTTTGTATTTCATCTTAATTCCTCTGTAGGCTCTAACTATATCTTTTTGCATTATTGCTTTACAGTGTTTTGAATTATGTACAGAATTATATACATGCTTAACTTATCACAGCATAGAGTTAAAATTATGATACTTCATGTAAAATAAAAGAGCCTTGCAAGAGTAAAGTTCTACTTCACCTCCCCGAGTTCTTTGTGCTTTGCTGTCATACATGTAACATCTATGCACTTTGTTATTTTTGCCCAAGTCATATGTATTTCAAAAAAATTAAGAGAAGAAACATATATATTGCCTTTTATATATTTACTTACATTTTTCTATTTCCAGTTCTCTTCATTCCTTCCTGTTTGTGACGAATTATCTTTAAAAATACCTGCCAAAAGTATTCACATTCTCGTAGGTGAATGTTGCTTCTCCCTTTAAGAAGTAGAGTCTGTGTTTCCACCCCTTGAATCTAGGCTGGTCTTTTAACTTGCTGTGATGAACAAAATATAGTGAAAAGTGATGCCATACCAATTCTAGGCCTACCCCCTGAGAAGCCATACACCGTTACTTTTATTCTCTAGAAATCTGGCCACAGATAAATAAGTTTAGGCTAGATTACTAAAGAATGAAAAACATTTGGTGAGAGATAGACCTACCTCAACCATTTCAGCCATACAGCTGAGTTACCAGTCATGTGTCTGAAGCTAGTTTGGAAGTTCCAGCCCTGGCTAAGCACTCGGCTGAATGCAGCTGTGAGCCCAGCCAATAATATCCAGACCAGGAGAATCATCCAGGTGAGCAAAGCCATAGAATAGGAAGAAATAACAAATGATTATTATTTTAAATTATTAAATGTATTAGATTGAAAGGATAACTAAAACATTATAGATTTCAGTTTCTATCTCGTATGTCATCTTTCATCCTGAAGCATTTTTTTTTAGCATTGCTTACACTGGAGGTCTATTGGTGTTGAACTTTTTGTTTTCACTTATCTGAAAATGTCTATTCTCCTTTCTATTTTGAAGGATTTTTTTCTGGGTATAGGATTCTGGATTGGCAATTTTTGTCCATTAGCACTTTAAGCCCTCTGTTGATTTTAACCTGTTGTTTTTGATGAGAAGTCAGCTATCACTTTATTATTTTTGTTCATGTGTAATGTATTATGTTTCTCTGACTGCCTGCAAAATTTTTTTTTTCCAATGGTTGGTTATTTGCAGTTTGACTATAATGTGTCTAGGTGTGATTTTCTCTGTCATTAGCCTATTTGATAGCCACTGAGTTTCCTAGATTTGTCCATTTCTTTTTATGTTAATTTGGGATATTTTCAGCCATTGTTGTCTTAATATTTTTTTCTGTGCAGTTATGCTTCTGCTCCCCTCTGTTGGACTCCAATTATATGAATGTAAGACCACTCCATATTGATGGGTAGCAAGGCTTGATTCACTTTTTTCCTGACTGAATACCTTCTATTATCTATCATCACGTTAACTTTTTGTTGTTTTTGCAGTGTCCAATCTACTGATTAGCCCATCTTGTGAATTTTTAAATTCAAATTCTCTACTTCTTAGTTCTTGAAATGTGTCTTTTT